TGTATAATCTGCCACTGGGGATGCAAATAAAGAACGTGTAGTATTCATTACAAACTGTGTGAGTCAGTAACAGGCCATTGGGGGTACATCCTGCCTGCTGCCAAACACACGAAGAAGAGAAGTGGTCAAAAGCGGTATGCCATACCCTGGATTTGTCTTTACAGGCAGCACTTCCGAGATGTAGATACAACACACTAATTACTTTATCCAAAATCAACAGCTCTTTAGCACAATCAAAGCTCTACGTTTGACCTTAACCTATATTTAATTGTTAGATATTTTGGGGGGACTGTACACAGCTTAGACAAAAAGGCTTGCCTGTGAGGTTACGCTGAGGGCAAACACCACACACGTTTTTTCTTCGCTTTGGACTCATGTTGTTGGTCTTGTTAGACAGAAAAAGAACAAAACGTGGACGGTGTGCTTTAGCTACATTATTTGTTCAATGTTTAATTCAACCGTGGTGACAGTTCGACAGTCATTTGGCCCTAATTAATACAAATAACGGTGGTAAACATATATAGCTGTAAAATGACGGAACAGTCCTCGTTGCTTCTACGTAAACAACTAGCAGGTAAGTTGGCTAACTCTTGCTACTTTAGCTATTTCACTGTATCATCAAGTTATCACATTATAGCAATAGCTGTGTTTATTGATCTTTGTTTTATTCGGCTAGGTTTAACGTACTGATACGTTTGGCATAATACAGTTGAGGTGCACGTGTACAAATTGCGTATTAGACAGCTGTTAGAGAGGATATGACTAAGGCTAGCTGTTGCTCAATAATCACTGCAGGCATTTAGTAAGCACAGCCCAGGCCAGTAGATGCGCAGGGATATTAGCTACCAGCTCAGCACTGCCACACGTGTTTTCATCAGTATTTCTTATATTTCGGTCGTTTAATGGTCAACAAACTGATTGCTTTGTGTCCATGTCGATATAGTTCGTTCGACTTAAACCTAGTGATAATGTATTATTATTATATTACTTAAGTATTTCCCTTGTATGCTACTTTATACTTCTACTCCACTTCATTTTGGAAGCCAATATTGTACTTTTGACTCTACTACTTTTATTAATTACTGTATATATTCACATCATAAGATAACTTAAATTAATTAATACATAAACTATGATACAAAATGATAGGTTAAGATATCCAGCAGTATTATATAAAGAAATGATATCTCCTCCTTTACCAGCAGATATGAACACATTAATGCATCAATAATCAAAATGCAGTTATTTCATAAATATAATCATAAACAGGGATATTATGAACAATAGGTAATTTATTTTGATGTTAATACTTATATGAGATTTTGCATGCAGGACTTTTACTTGTAACAAAGTATTTTTGCACTGTTTATTTAAAGCCCTTTTTAAAGTACATTTAACTGTGTTTATTTTTATTTTCAGAGCTCAACAAGAACCCAGTGGAAGGATTTTCTGCCGGTCTTGTAGATGATGACGACATATACCAATGGGAAGTGGTCGTAATTGGACCTCAGGACACATTATTGTGAGAAAAATGAAGTTACTTTCTTGTGGCTGAGCTGTATATTCATTCATAGTCAGCAGTGTACATATTAACACCTCCTTTTTGCCATTTTTAGTGAAGGAGGTTTCTTCAAAGCGACCTTAACCTTCCCCAGGGACTATCCTCTGAGGCCTCCCAAGTTGAAGTTTGTCACAGAAATCTGGCATCCAAATGGTAAGAACAAAAATAACAGGCCATCATCTCTATTTCATTTATATCCAAGAAATAATTTTGAAATCAATATTTATTTATGTGTGCAGTGGGTGTGGTGTGAACATTTGTTGGTGTAGCCTAAATTAGGGCTGTGCGATTATGGCAAAAATCATAATCACGATTATTTGGGTCAATAATTGATATCACGATTATTTTGACGATTATTCATTGACCATTTATTGAACTTTAAAACAAATAATATTTTACCAATAAACAAGAAAAACAAATATGTTGGAGCGCACTTCCAAAACCATACTAAACATATATTATTAATATGATAAATAAAAATAAATTAGACCAAAATAAATGAAATCAAACATGTTGCAGTGCACTGTCACAACCTACTGAAAACTCCTTAACATATAGCCAACATTTTGGTAAAACATATTCAACATATTCCACTCAGTTAAACGTTGAAGGCTGGCCAACCGTCATGGTCCAGAAGTAACAGGAAATAAATGTTGAACTACAATTTAAGACCAAATAAAAATGTTTAGGCCACCATGGCAAATGCTGGTAGGGCTGCTCATGTCATCTCTTAAAGATGTTTTTTTTTTTGCAAGAAACACCAGCCTGTTTACATGGTCTGGTTTCAGAGATGAGCGCAGGCAGGTGACAATATTGCCACCTGTACTGAAGACCCTCAGCCACGCCCCGACACATGGGGTGACGCCGGCCAATCACAAAGCTTTAATGCGTTCAAGTGCATTATTCTGGCACAGGAAGATTATGTTACAGGACATTAACGATAAAACAGAATATTGTTGTTCTATTTTTAGACACATCTCGCGATCGACTGGTTGGGCACCCCTGGGCTAGACCATAGGTCTGTTGTGGTAGCAAAGTAGTCAGCTGAAGCCACATCTCTCTCAACTTCCCCACGGCATTTGTCACATAGTGCAGGCAGCGCAGACCTGCTGAAATAATACCGAGACGGCATCGCGTAACGCTTGTCCAACGTGTTGACAAGTTGCTTAAAGCCCTGGTTGCTAACAGTGCTAACTGGGCACATATCTTTAGCGATGTGGAATGTAATGGCACCTGTAAGATCTCTGTGTCTCTGCGAGCTCGTCGCGTAGGCCGTTGCTCTGTACAATGCGTCCTGAATCGATGACTGTGATGATGTGGTGGATGAAGTCGAGCGGGCATCTGCTTTTTGTTGTATTACTGCCCGGTCGTATTGCACTTTGTGGTTGTATTTCAGATGATTAAAGAGATTGGTTGTGTTAGCGTGTGGTGCAAACACAACCTGGTAACAAATCCTGCACTGTACTTTATTTTGCTCCACGTCGGACTCCTGAAAGCCAAAGTACTTCCAAATAGTGGAAATAGTTTGACCTTTCTTTTTAACGAGTTGCTGCTCTTGTTCTGACATCTTCGCTCGCGCTGAACACTCACAACACATGTCACTCCCACGTGGCCGAGTGGGCTTTTAGGGAGGGGCGAAAGCGCACCCAGCTAAATAATCGTATTTTGTCAATTATGCTGTTTTCATAATCGTCGCAAGCCATAATCGTAATCGCGATTAAAATACGATTAATTGCACAGCCCTAGCCTAAATGTACACTAACTACTGCTGTTTAAATGTAAATGGTTATAAGATCTGTTTATTTGTATCTTCAATCATATATGTTTTTAAATACATAACCAACTTTTTCTGTTGAGCTGCCGCTTAGTGTCTGCTTGAGTACAAACGTGTCAGTAATCTGTGTGTTATTGTTTTCTGCCAGTGGCAAAAAATGGCGACGTCTGCATCTCCATCCTTCATGAACCTGGCGAGGACAAGTATGGCTACGAGAAGCCTGAGGAGCGCTGGCTGCCGATCCATACAGTAGAGACCATCATGATCAGTGTTATCTCCATGTTGGCAGACCCTAATGGAGACTCTGCTGCCAATGTAGATGCAGCTGTAAGTGTCCATTTTATCTTATAACACTCTCAAGCTGCAGCTAGTTTGCAGCCTTTTAAAAAAAACGTTTGATATACATGTTCCAGTACGTGGTTCTGACAAGCAATATGAGACTTAATCCAAAATCTGTCACGCGTATATGTTTACATTTGGAGAATGGTATCTGAAATGCTTATTATATTTCACCAGAGTTTAGTCAAAAGTGGGCTGAGTGACTCTCAGGGGGAAAATCAACTTTTAAAAGAAGTAAACATCTTTTTATTCAGATGTACAGTGTTGGCAACCTTTTTCGGTAAATTGTGTGGCCAAGAAGTATTGAGAAACATTTCACAAGGGGAAGAACGGTTGCACTGAGCAGGTTGTTGATAGAATATCTGTCTACCTTATATTCTGCAGAAAGAATGGAGGGACGATCCTAAAGGAATTTTTAAGAAAAAGGTAGCACGCTGTGTCCGGAGGAGTCAAGACATGGCTTATGACTAAGGCTTTTCCTACAGCCATCAACACAGTAAGTACTATTTTAAAAAATAAATAAAACCACAGTTACTTGCTGTTGCTACTCCTCAGGGTGCTGTTATTTGTATTAAGTGTGTTTGTTTTGTTTCAGATTGGAACTGCACAAAGGATTTGACAACTGGTTACACTTAAGATGGCTAAATGATCCCAGGACTTAACTTTGTCAACTAGTCCCGGAAACAAAAAACAGACTCGCTGGAAAAAAAGTTAATGTTCTCATATTTCTCTATTCATTTCTGTCCTGCAGTTCGATGAAGGGCATTGGGATTCACGCTGCACAAATTTCAATTTCTCACCATCAGTTGAAACGGTTTCTGGTCAAGCATCAAGATTTCTCTCACAGGAAGATGAATTATACAGCCTCGTTCTTTCTTTTTGTATATACTCATCAGATGTTGAGGAAGAAACCCCTTTAAAATGCTCCATTTTGTTAAAATAGTTTACTTGATATTTACCTATTTATTTAGAGGGACTGTTTTAGGATGCATATGTTCTGTTAGGGAGGTTTTTTGTTCTCTTTCACCCTGCCCCACTGAGCCATCCAGTCTACAGTGATTTCATCAATTATGCAACTTTGCAGTCGTTAAAGAGATGGAAATACGGACACTGGCTCTTATTTCCTGGAAGAGTTCTGCAAAGAAAGTGTTCCTTCTCTCCCTGGGGGGCAAACATATCACCCGGCGCTGCCTTAACTTTGACTGCCAGCGAAGGAAACTTATCGTCAATAAGGACTGCATCTGAAAGCTTGTTTGGAATCCAGAAAATAACATTGTGGACAAACCAAAGAGAATACACCAATAAATATATTTTTAATGAACGTGATGCATTGTTTTACTTTGGATGTAAACTGTTTGTCCTCGTCTGTGAGACAGTGATGTTGTACAGCAGCACTTAAGGCAATTTATACAGAAGACATTGACATGGTGTAAATAACAAAATGGGACAGTTTCAATAATTGAGCCATTGTTTTTGTTAAACCTTTCCGTCTGCTGTGGTGAAGGCCTAAACCAAAATAATCTACCGGTCTAATTTGAATAAATAGTGATAAGCCTCATACAGCGCTACTCACTGTAAATAATTTCAACTCCTTGAATACTTTCCTTGATCTGAGTGAAGTGCAATAAGAACAAAAAAGCACAATTATATTCTAATCTCCATGATTGCTTTATTGAATTAAGCACCAGCTCAATATGGTCAACATCCGCCTAATGTTAAAGAGTATAAAATCATTTTATCAATGCAGTATCACAACCCACCAAAAAAAAAAATCGATCCGTCTTGCAGGTGCAGAATCGAAACCTGAGTCCTGAGTCGTTTCACTGTCCCGGGGCGGACAGACTTTTGTTCATGAACTGCCTTTTGACAAAGCACACCCACCACTGGAAAAAAACAAACTTGTTAAGAAAATGTCTGAAGGCACATTTGTTTTAAGCAAACAAGGCACCCTGTGATCTCATGGTCACAAAGAAACAGATTATTTTGATTTGAGATGTTGGCCTCACCTTGCTGGGTTTGTCTGTCTGGGGGTCAAACACGCGATCACATAGCCTCAAGCCGGTCTCCTGGCGGAGCTGCTGAAGGTACGCTCTCATGGTCTCTGGAAAAGGTTGCAGAGGTTGTCACCACAGCCACTAACACCCTCCTTTACATTTTAACAAACACTTTTGCTAGTGAACATTTGATCTTTTACGGCTACATCAGAATTAGGAAGGAGTGGTTTCAAATGACTACTGTGTTTATTTTTGCAACCATTTTCTTTTGCCTTCTTCGCTTGTTTGATAACTTGTGGTTTGCTGTGTATGTACCGACATGCAGTCTGCACGCAACTAATTAACTCTTCTTGTAGGTGAGCTATAGAAAATACTAACCATGGGTATTTTGCCTAACTTGACAAGAAAGCTGAAACGATATATTGTGCAGCCTTAGCATAGATGTAAAGTCCCTGCCACTACAAATATTGGATGATTACATTTCCAGGCGCAATGTTTAAGATTGGGGTTGAGGGTTACCACAAAGGAAATGAAACAGCATTTCTAACTTCCTTTAAGCTGATGGAATTAAAGGACATATGCAATGGGTACAAGGAAAGTGAAACAGCATTAGTTGATGGTGTTTGATCTTACCGTCCTCTTGCTTGTTTGCAGGCTTGACATACATAGCATTGAGAGGGAAGCCAGGTTCTCCAGGAATGGGGAAGTTAGTGATGCCCAGAGTGTACATCTCCTTCTCTCCCTGGCTCCTGGAGCTGCACTGTAAAGAGCAAACACAAAGGGTTAGATCACCTGTGTTAGTAACACTATTGAAATAGGCATTCAAGCCACTCTGATTTACCACAAGTCTTTTAATTGATGCTACTCATACCACTTTTTTATTCAAATCAGTTGGATTGCAGACATCTTCCTGTGTAAACATGAACAACTTACCTTCTGTAGCCTCTTTAGGCATTCAGAAATGTACAGTGTGACATAGATCAGCGTCCTGTCCGCCTCATTCTGAAAATAAGATAAAATAAGATGGACCTTTATTAATCCCTGTGGGGAAATTCAGTAGTTTAACAGCAACCGGGTAAGAAGGAAAAACAGGACAGCACAGATTCATACAGATTATAGATTAATAACATTAAAGATAAAATCAAAGATACAAATAACATGATATACAGGTAAGTAACCTTTAAAATAAGAAATGAATTAAAATGAACATATATACATATTTGGGTCATATATACATATTATATTATTAGATATATTAAAATCACATTACCTGCTGAAATACTTTGAATTAGACTGAAAAAAGTATTTTGTCTTAAGCGTTAATGTTATTGTAAAGAAATTCCATAACAGTTCCAGTCAGGTCTGCACAGCAAAGGGTCATGTAGTTTGAACCCAGAGCAAATATGCATTGCTGAGGGGAACGCATGCAAGCTGGGGCATGTGGAAGAACTAATTGCAGAGCTGCTTTAGACAGACAGAGAGACAGGAACAAGCACAAATGGACACTTATTTTCTTCCTCTTTTGCTTTGAAGAATATATAAAAGGCAGCAGAGTCCTTAGCTTTTATGCAAACAAATGTTCATGAACTTTAAATACTTGCTTACCTTGATTTCATAGTTTTTAAAGAAAACGTTGGCCTTGAAGTAGTAGATGGCCTCATCAACTATGTCAGTCTCCATGCCTAAAATGGAATCAAGGTATCAATAACTGAAAGGTTGATTTTTAGATGTGTTTTATACAGACTTGATGGGAAAGATGTCAAGTGACTAAGCAGTTTGAATATAAAATCCATTTCCAGTAACCTTTAAAGTGGCATACTAATGCAATAATTGTTTTTAAAAATCAAGTAAACCATCGCCACACGACGACTACCATACAATATTATGTTCTGTCGACTATTACCTCTTCAACTGATCTATACAATACTAAAATATCTGCAAAATCGTTGAGGGTCATCAAGCTCCACAGACAATGAAAAGCTAAAAGACATGAAGACATGAAGAAGTGCAACTTAAGGATACACTCTTCGGGCCATATATGGAATTTAGGGTAATGCATTTATCAGGAAGTGAGGAAGGTGTCATAAGGTGACAAACACGTATTAAAATAGCCATTAGAAACGATACATGTTTGTTTATGTAATCATGGGGGACTGGATCCACTTTATAATAATTACAACGACCGTAAACACTTACCGTCTCCTCTAGCTGGACCCTTGAACTGGGTTTTGATGGGAAGCAAAGCCATATTCCCCACCATCCTGGTGTCAGGGACCATCAGGCTCGAGTGATACGCCTGAAAATAAGAGAAAGGTGCTGTCACTAATATTTATTTTCCAGGTATATTTTTATCAGAGAGCATCAGTGACATCTCTGCTTCAGACCCATCCGCTCACGGCTATACTATCACGACAACTAACGATGTATTTAATAGATACATAAATAATAACAAAGTAAGTTAGGTTAAACCCGTGAAATGCAATAATTCTGACTTGAAGAACATCAATAACAGATTGCAAATGTTAGCTTAGCTAGACAAATATGCTAACGAGACTCGTCACCATAGCTATCGTTTACTCGGAGGCCCTTGTCATCCAGTGGAGTTTATATGCATTCGTTTTGCTCTTAGCCTACAAAATACGCTTTTGCTCGTTAGTTATCGTGTAGGATTTACTCACCGGCATGCTGAGTGATAAATATCAGTCCAACTGCTCAGCGAAATAAAAAATACTAGCACTGCAGGACCCAGCTTCCGCCTGTCCCACCCTTCAGCTTTACAGGAAGTGGACACGTGTAATGTAGCGTACCGTCCACACGTGGGCGCTAGCACACCAGGTTCATTACACAGGAAGCCAAATGGTATATTTTGTGTAATATTTTATTTAAAAAATATAGCATTTATAAATGTATTTAACAAAAACTCTTTAAAATAAAACGTTGTCTTGAAATAATGACAATACAGCACAAAAAAAACTTCGGAACATAATATGAAGCAAGGTATTGATCTTGTGAGTCAGTTTTTCTGCCCATATCCTTTTTCTTATTTTGCTTGCAGTCATTATCCTCAGGAATTGATATTGTGATTCCTGGTTCGTCTTCAGCCTCAAATGTTGTGTTCAACTCTAGTCTCTTTTTCCCCATGATTCTTGGTTTTGTATCCTCAGCTGTCCCCTTTGCCTTGAAAAATCTCATCATAATTTAGGTCAGCCGACTCTTCATCAACCTCCTGTAGGTAAAAGGAAAGAATGGGAAAACAACAAAGGGAATCATTTAGTATATTAAAATATGAAGTATTGTAGTTTAAATCATGTTGTTAAATTATGTTTGATATAGTTGTTTTGCTTGTTTCGTCACCTTGGGCTCCTTGAACTCCAGGTCCTCTCCATACTGTATTGAGAAGTCAATGCTTTGCAGTACCATGTTCATACCCTCCTCATCTGTGCGGTCAAAAGGCATGAATCTCACCATGCTATAATCATCAATCTGGACACAAAGACAAAGAGAATGTCAACAACAAAAACAATTATAATCAAATGTTGTATCATATTAAAAGTATAGTTCAGCGATTTGAAGTGGAGTTGTATGAAGTACTATACTGTAATCAGTGTTACCTAGTTTTTAGAAAAAGACAGGAGTAATGGCATACAAGTACAACATGTGGTTCTGTGGATGGGGTTAGCAGCAACATGTATTTTAGCCACTGAAAAAAAAGGTCATAATCAGATTAAAAGTAATGCCATCTTTGGAAAATGTTCACTGCCATCGGACGGGGAGCCGATATCAATGCTTACGACAAAAACAGTAATTTTACCTAAAAAAAAACATGGTAGCTGCTGCTCTATCGCTTGAGCAATTGGTTAATTTGTGTTAATGTATGACTTCTGTATTAAGGTTTAGTCATGCTGACCACTATAGGTCATACACCAACTATGCTAAAGTACTTCACACAACTCCTTTTTATCCAAACGTTAAGGGTGTCACTTACCAGACCACAAATGGCGTTGGTCAATTTTTTGAACTTTTTGCTCCTGATGTTATCTGAGGTATCTTCCATCATTGAGTACATGTCTGGGTCCAGGTACCTAGTGAAAAAGAAAGGGATACATAACTACAGGTGCTTCCAGATGAAAACGTTGAATTGATGAAAACACCAGACTTTTGTACTGCACCCGGTGTGAGACTTACTTTTCAATCTCCTTCTTGGCCTTGGGACTGAGCAGGTCCATTTTTGTCATGATGTTTATTTGAGGGATCTCTAACACCACCATGGCACTCAGGGCAGCCATGACTCCTGAGATGAACTGCAGTTAGAGAAGAGGGAAGATGTGAGAC